CCCAAACCATAATACAACAGCATCAAGTAACTTACCCTGTTCTGCTTCTGTAAATTAACAAAATTTACCAAAAAAACTCCAGAACTGTAGCAAGATAATAGCAGGAGAAAACTATTTCTGGACATCGATAGTAAATGTCTAAATGCACAGATGACAAGACCTGAATACAGACTCTGCAGTGAGGCAGAATTGCCATCCTGTCCCAAACGACACCTGGTAGGCTAAGCCTCAGCTTCCAGATCAGTAAAACAGATACGGTAGTACAACTCAAATACAGGTGTAATGAAAAATGAATAGAAGAATTTATTTTGAAATTCTTGAACTTAAATGAAATGGAATTTATTTTTATAATAAGATTAAGGGGCAATTATTCGTTTTTCTATGATATTGACAGTGTGGACATTTCTTGGTGGGAACCATGTAACTTGGGCAATTATCTTCTAGAACTAAGACACCCTGACCCAAGCCATGTATTTTCAATGGCCTCATGTGCATGTGAAAGTTAGCCACGGACTAACGAAGACTGAAGATGTGGGGTCGGAATTACGGTGCTGGACAAAATACTGAAAGTGCGATGGACTGCTGATCTCGGGAGGAATTGGGTCAAAGTGCTCCTTAGAGGCAAGGAGACATACTTTAGACAAGTTGTCAGAAGAGACCGGTGTTTGGTATAGGGACAGCAAAAAAGAAGTCCCTCCAGAGGATGGAGAGACCCTGTGGATGCAAGCACAGACACTAAGTTCAAGCACAGAACAACTGTGAGGAGGAAGCAGGCCAGGCAGCATTTCTTTCTGCTGTGCCTAGGGGTTGCTATGGAGGGAACTGGCTTAATGACACCTAATAGAAACAGCACCCTCTAGAGTATAGACCTAAGTGTATTGCAGGATATGTTGTTGTTGGTGGTGGTGTTAACAATGTTATTAACAATATAATCAATGGAGTCTTAATTCATGATAAAATCTATCCAATCTCTAATATTTTTAAAGTCTCTTTCACATAGTTATTGCCAAGGGAAATATAAAGGCTGTAAATAGGCTTTCTTTCAAAGTACTCTTAAAACTCTTAAAGAAAAACTCAAGAGATGAGTTCATCTCTTTTAATGATTGAAGGAGAAAGAGCCTAATAAATCAAAACACCATTTCAGTTGACATTTTTCTTATATTTTTTCCACTCTTTAAAGACCATCAAAATGAAAATTCTCCCTGGTAGAAATGTGTGACAAATTAGTTCCAAAATAGCTTCAAAGTTCCAAAGAGCTGCATAGCAAATGGGTGACATTAACCTCCCCGGGTCTGATTACAAATTAAAACACACTCTTCGTTTCCCTACCCCCATCATCCATGGTTACTATGTGTTTTCACAACGCAGCCAGATTAGTGTTCAGAAACTCCTACTTTCTTTCTCATCTAAGAACTCTCTCAAGGAGCTTCTGACCAAATATAAACTCATTGCAATCCAGTCGACGCCAGCCAACTCATATGGACCCTAGAGGGCAGGGTAGAACTGCCCTGGTGAGTTTCAAGCCGGTAACTGTTCACCTTCCTTGTAACTAAATATCCTAGCTTTAAAATAGGTCCCCTCCTTCGCCCCCAAATAAAATTCATTATTTAAACCTACATCCACCTTAGGCTTCTTTTTGCTTAGTATTTTTAAACAATTATCTTCTAGGATAGAGGATCCAAATGCACTGGATATATTGGTGGTGTAATGAATAATAATAACGTGCCTTTAACAACTGATGTTTAATGCTTGCGATGAGGTAGATGGTATTCCTATTCGCCTTTTACTTAATCCAAGGAAGAAACTATTAACTCCACTTTATAGACAGAGACCTGGATAAAGAGACATTGAGTACCATCCCTAAGTCACAGTTAAGAAGTGGTACAGCTGGGATTCACACGCGTACTGGATCCACAGTCTGCGCTTTGAACCACTCAGCCAGACACGTTTGTGAATGGGAAGCAGGGGGGACAGACTGGGCTGCTTGCACAGTAAAAGTCTATGCGCTAAGCTTCCCACAGAAAGGAATCCACCCGCTATCCTAGAGCGAAACCGCTGGATCGAGCCCCGAAGGGCTGCGGCGGCGCATCCCGAGCCGCAGGACAGGCAGTATCCCCTTTCCCAGCTCCCAATTCCGGGAGGAGATCCCGAGCGTGACGTCGCGGAGCCGCGTGCGGACTTCGGGCTCCCGCTCGGGGTCCAGACCCGGCTACCGGGGGCGGGGATGGGCTCCCAGACCGGCAGCCTCCACTGCGGGCCTCCGGTCACCGAAGCGGGGCTGCCGGACACCGGCCGGGGCTCTCTCTCTGGGGGCGCTCTCCCGCTCCCACCTCCCCACTTACACGCACACCCAGGGTCCTTACCACTCTCAAAATAGCCCAGGAAGTTCACTTCAAACACGAGTTGCTCTCACGGCTACCGCCATCCCTTGCGGACCACTACCACAGCCAATTCAAAAAGTGAGCCGCTCTCTGTAAGAGCCATCGCGATTGGCGCCTGATGTCAGCTTCCTTCTCATAGGCTGGAGTCTCCAGAGGGACGGTGATTGGCTGATGCCTTCTGCCCGCCTTCCCCTAGCGGCCGACGGATTGGTTGAGCTTATGTTTCAAATAAACCCAACTCGTGCGTCCGTACGCCTGGAGTTGAAGTCCCCGGATGCTGCAAGTAGGTGGCAGTGGTGGCTCCCAGGAAGCTTCTCGAGTAACAGGTGGCTATGACTACCGCTTGTTTACTGAGTAAACATCCAATTTCCTGAGGAAAGTTTCGCTGGCTCCGCCAACTTTTTTTTTTTAATCGCAGCTAAATTCTTTACATTTAAATCAATACCTGCGCATCTCTTTCCAACACCATTATCCCTGAAAAGTAAGATAGAGGAAGGTGCCCCAAACACCATTCTGCATTGAATTTCCCAAGAGACTGGACAAGACTAAAACCCAAAAAGCCTTCATAAATCTGTCCATGGTCCAACATCCAGGTTAAGTCTTGGTTTATACAGCTTTCTATTGACATCTAGCTATGTCAAACCTGACATCTCTAACCTGACCAGGAGCGGGCTCCTTTCGCACGTATTTGATGCCCACCCCTTTTACTGGCCTACAGGAAAAATGCAGCACGTGCTATAACGAAGGTGTTACAAAGCAATTTCTACAGCAAGGCTTATGCTATGCTCTCACATTGGGGGACCCTGGCACAGACACTTCGAAATCTTATTTACTTCACACACGTGGCACAAACGCCACCTTTCCCGTGCGATTTTTCTACAATTCCAACCAGGTGGTACACAGGCAGCAGCGCCATTCTGGCCGTTCATGCTGCCGGCTTTCATTTCGTGGGAGGCGGTCCTCCATTCAGCTGAGTTCAGGAGCCTTCCAGCACCCTGTCTCGTCCTTAATCAGTGCGAGGGCCAAGAGTCGGAAGAGAGTCAACAGCAGTGGATTGTTGGCCAGAAACAACTATGAAGTTTCTCACTTCGCCCCATCCAGGTGGAGGCTTTCTTTCCCCGGTTTCCTTAAGTGTTCAGTCTTTAGCACCGTCGTTTCGCCAGTGGCTCCAGGAGGTCTTGGTAGAATTTTAAGCTGTGACGTCACGCAAAGGTCAAGGCTCGTAGCAAGAATGGGCCGACTTTCACAGGGATTATACAAAAACATAACAAAGGAAAACTTGTTATGGCTCCTAAGGTAGGCGTCCTTTGAATTCCAGACCCTTCAGAATTCCGACCGAACCCAATGCACTTCCGGAGAGCCCCGAGTCCGGCACAGCAGAGGGAACTTCCGCCTGGAAAAAATTGTCACGGGGCAAGTCTGATTACCCGCAGCCCCAAGGCCTTTTATCCTAGTTGGCAGCTGTCCACACCCCAAGGCTGCCCCACCCTGCTTCTCCCTTGGGCTTCTCCACACCCAGTGCAACCGTTTACAGTCACGTATGGAGCGCAGGGACGGTACGCCGTGACGTCACCAGGAGACAGGGAAGTCGTACGAGCGGCGTAGCACGGAAGGACGCCCAGAGCCTAGAGGCGGGACTAATTTATGATTGATGTTCACACGCACCCACGGCCATTCGAATTCCTTCTCAAACGAGCCAATGAAGACGACAACGGAGACGGCCACGTGCCCCAGACACCAAAGGTAGCTCCTCCCCCTCCACTTGGTCGCTCTTTGGGCTACATGTTTAATGTGGCCGCCGCCGCTATGCTATGTTAGGCAATTTAATGACTTTCCTATCGCTTAGAGGCACGCCTTCATGACCATTGCTTCCCTTCCACCATCAACTTCCACCTTCTCGGGCGGGGTTCTTGCTCGCGCTCGGCATACTCAGCCACACTTGACATGGCGGCTGGAGGCCGGGCCGGGGCGGGGCGTGCCCGGCGCGGTGACGTCAGCACGCTGCGTCCCGGCAGGTGGAGAGAGAAGGGAAAGTTTGGCCCGTGCGTGGGGCTCGGTGAGAGGGCGGGCCGGAGGGGTTGGGCCCAGGCAGAGCTCTGCTCGCTGCTGCTCCTGCTGAGGCCGAGGCCGGGATCGGGGACGGACCGTGAAGTGCCGGACGTGGAGGAGAAAGAGGCGAGAGCCGCCGGAGCTTCGAGCCGCCGCCGCTCTGCCGCGCTGTGACCCCGCAGCCGGGCTCCGTCTGACCCGTCCCTGTTTCCGAGGCTGCTGGTGGGGGCGCGGCGGCGGCGGCGGTTGGGGGTGGGGAGAGCCGCGGCGAGGTCAGCGAGTTTGAGGGAAGACCGAGCGCGGCTGCCGCCGACATGTCCGAGGAGCCGAGCGGCCTGCCGTGGTCCATCAATAGGGACGACTACGAGCTGCTGGAGGTGATCGGTGAGAGCAGGCGCCGCGGAAGGGGGAGGAGACGCTGCGCTCGGCGGCGAGTGACACGCGGGGCGCCGGGGGAGCCGGCCGGGAGCGGGACTTGGGGTTTGTGGGTGCTGGTGGGACGCGCAGCGCGTGCGAGTTGGGGAGAAGGGCTTGAGGGGCGTCTGTGCGAGGCGGCGTGGGGCTGGGCTTGAAGGTGCTCTTGAGGCATGCGTGGTGACAGATGTTCGAGCTTGAGCGACAGGGCGTCTTGCAGAGAAAGAAAATTGCAGGTGTGGGCCAGGCCTTGACGGGGCGTGTAAGGAATGGGACATTGGAGTTGCGCGCCCTGTGATCTATAGGTGGAGTTACGGGGAGAGTGCTGTAGTTCATTCCTCCCGCCTACGAAACAGAACCCCTTGGAAGGCCACGAAGTGCCAGATATGGTTGGAGTGGAGCTGGGGAACCCTCTTCCCGAGGAGGCTGCAGGCACGGCCCCGAGCAACGTAGACACTTCAGACTCTGTGCGACGGACTTTCTAGTCGGGGAAACGGACGTTAAGTAAGTGGACAAATGAAAGAATTCCAGCTTTTAGAATTTTTTTTTTGAAAGCCACTACTTTCCTGGCGATTCCAACTCATCGTGGCTCGTCTAGGGTTCCCGAGGCTGTAAATCTTTAGGAGAAGCAAATAGCCACAGTCTTCCTCCCGTGGAGCAGCCTGGTGGGTTTGAACAGCTGACCTTAGGTGTTCCAACCCACTATCTACCAGGGCACCTTTAGAAAATGCTAAGAGGAAATGAACAAGATGTTTTGATAGAGAATCACTGGGGGCTGGACTAGTTAGGGAGAGTTCAAGGATTCCCCCCCCCCCCTGAGCTGATGACATTTAAATTGAGCTTTAGGTGCTGAAGGAAGACTCAGTCCCTGGAGGACTGAGGAAGGAGCCATTGTGATCAGTGGGTTCTACCTTGTGCTGCTAACACAGGTGCTCCACTGGAGAAAGATGAGGCTTTCTGCACTTGTAAGCTTTGAGAGCCTGCAAAACCGGCAGAGGTAGTTCTAGTCTGCCCTTTAGGGTCAATGTGAGTTTGGCAGATCTTAAGGATCTTTGTCAGCATTGGGATGGAATTTGGATTGGAGTGTTTTGAGCAAGAGCATTCCATGATCAGAAAGATCCGGTTGGTGCTGGTGTGAAGGAGTGCAGAAATACCAGTTGGCAGAGTCCAAAACTCACGCAGGTAATTACTGATTGTGATTCTCAGAGAAGCACAGTGATTGAGTGTGTATAGCCTAGCGACCTAAGAAATCAAAAGGAGATGGGTTTATCGAAACACTGCTCTGGCAAGAGCAGACCCCTTATGTGTTGGAAGATTTATCTACTTTGCTAGATCAGCACCCTGTGCTAAAATTAAAATCCGTTTTTTAAAATAAAGTCTGGCAGAAGGGTCCCTAGCTGCCTTGGGAGCAGTGTGCCTGTTTTAGAGAAATTTTGTCCTATTTCTTTTCTTTAGTCAAACACGACCCCCACCCTTCCACCTGTTTTAAAACAAATCTGGGCCATTTTACCTGAAAGCTTCTTTTTCTTTTCCTAAAGCCGCTG